TAGGCTTGGCACTTATTGGGTACCATTATGGTGTACTTATGCCCTTCCCTACACATATTTTTCGTGAGTAGATCCAGGTACCGCTTATCAGTCGTATGATCCGTGAGGCGAGCCATCTGTAGAGACTTCAAGGTATATCTGCCTCATCCGCAGACCTCAGAGTCTCTATCTACTCTTACCCCATATCAACATTTCCTTGTATTTCCTTTTGCTAGACCCTGGAGTATAGAAATACGGTTTTCCTTCTATAGTTTGTGACTCATGATATTCCGGATTTTGGGAGCATTTATGTTTAGTTCAAGAGTGATTATTGTATATGCCGAGCGGCATCTAAATTTCTTAATTAAATTTATCTGTTAAATTGTTAGTTTTCATGTTTTCGTCTCATTTCCGCAAAATGTTAGGCTTACCTAGTCATAGGGACTAGGTGTCGTCACGACGGTTCATGGAGAGCTCGGGTCATGACATATATCTAGGTGTTTGTCAATATGATCACCTCTATTTCAAAATATTGTTATATCAAAGTAAAATAAGACACAAACATGCGATAAAGATGACTCAAAAGGAAAACAATGATTGAAAAATATTTTTAATTTTAACTATTTCATTTACAAATGACACCACATCAAAGAGGAAAAGAAGGATTAATGAACTTTTGTGACGACCCGGTCAGTCGTCTCGTGAGTTACCGCTCCGTTTCCCCCATTTCTGCTTCATTATGCTTCGTTATCCATGTTTTTTTTTGTGGTTGAGTTGGTTGATTTGCGTTCGGATTGGTTTTGGTAGGAAATGAGACACTTAGTCTCTTTTAAGAAGAGTTAAGTTGGAAAAGTCAATCGGATGTCAACTTATGTGTTAGGGGGCTCGAACTAGAGTTCCGATGATTCGGTTAGCTTCGGGAGGTGATTTATGGCTTAGGAGTGTGATCGGAATTGGTTTTGGAGGTCCGGTGTAGAATTAGGCTTGAATTGGTGAAGTTAGTATTTTGGCGATCTCCGGCCGATAGGTAAGATTTTGATCCGAGGGTCGGAATTGAATTCCGAGAGTTGTTTAGCTTCATTATGTCATTTGGGATGTGTGTGCAAAATTTCAAGTCATTCGGGCGTGGTTTGGTTGGGTTTTCGATCGAAAGCGTGTTTCGAATATTTTTAGAAAACTTAGGCTTGAATTCGATGAGTTTTGGGAAATTTGATGTTGTTTGAGGTGTTTTGATGATCGGAACAAGTTCGAAGAAGATATTGGGTCATGTTGGTGCTTTTGATTGAGATCTCGGGGGCCTCGGGGTAATTTCGGATGGCTAACGGAAAGTTTTGGAACTTGAGTGATTGCAGATTTTCTGCTGCTTCTGGTGTTTTCGCACCTGCGGTTTGGGGACCGCAGGTGCGCTCTCGCAGATGCGTTGTTTGGGTCGCAAAAGCGGAAGGCTGAGGGAGGCCTGGTAGAGCAGATGCGGAAAAGGAACTGCACCTGTGAAGCTGCAGATGCAGCGAGTGGACCACAGATGCGGTATGGATCCGTAAGTGAAATTCCGCAGATGCGGAGAAATGACCGCAGAAGCGGCTATTGGACCGCAGATGCGGTTATGTCTGGGCAGAAGATATATATGTTTCTTCTTCGCGATTTTTGAAGGGTTTATTCATTTCAACTTCGGACTTAGAGTTTTGGGGCGATTATGAAGAGATATTTCAAGAGAACTTCGATAAAGTAAGGATTTTGGACCTAAAACACACTTCTATGGTAATATTTCATGGATTGGGACTGAAATTTAAGAGATTAAATGACTAAAAATGGAGGTTTAGGGCTTGAGTTTAAGAAGGCTTAAATTAAGGATTTGAGGGGTTAACTGAACTCCGATTCTTGCATTTTTGATATGTATGAACTCGTGGGGAGACGAGGAATATAATGATGTGAAAAGTTCTGAGTTTCGAGAAGTGGGCCCGGGGCTCGGGTTTTGCTAATTTCGGGATTTTTGATATTTTTCAAATGTTTTCGCTTGGGCTTTGTTTCCTTAGCATATTGTGACGTATTCATTCTGATTTTGGATAGATTCGACGTGCGTGGAGGCCGATTCGAGGGGCAAAGGCGTCGCGAGCTAGAGTTGTAGCCGGCTCGAGGTGAGTAATGATTGTAAATGATGTCCTGAGGATTTGAAACCCTGGATTTGCATATCGTAGTGCTATATTGAGGTGAGACACGTGCTGGATGATGAGCGTGGGGTCTTTTACTACTGGGGATTGTGACTTGTTCCGTCCCGATTGATGATTTTACCGTGTATTTGACTGAAATTTATTTGTTATCATCATGATTTGGGATGATTGCCATATTTGGGTTTCATGCCAACTATTTGAACCCTTCGGGGATTTTTATCACTATTTCCTCACTGCTTTGACTTATTATTTGAACTCAGACCTGTTGATATCTACTTTTTTACAAACTCAGCCACTGTTACTCAGATTTGAAACTTATATGATATTTCTAAGTGATGTTTTGGGCTGAGAACTACTGTTTTACTAATGCCCGAGGGGCTTGTGATGATTTTCGGACTGAGTGAGGCCGAGGGCCATATGTGAGGATATGCTGAGTGATATGAAGCCGAGAGCCTGAGATACTTTATATGCCACGAGGTGGCTTGTATGATGTGAGGCCAAGTGTCGAGTGATGTGAAGTCGAGTGCCGAGAGATGATGCCACGAGGTGTCTTGATATAGCGCTTGGGTTGTAAGGGGCCCCTCCGGAGTCTGCACACCCACAGTGAGCGCGCGTACCCATTATGATCTAAGAGTGAGCCCGAGAGGCTGATACTGTTTTGAGTGATTGACATTGTGCCCGAGGGGCGGATTTCTACTTGTTATTTACCTGTTAAATTACCTGTTTTACTTGTTTTAAAGGGGATTTCACTTGATTTCTTCACTAATTTACTGCCTTAAGTGATTTTACTGCTTGATATGGAATTGTTTTGTGTCTTTACGTGTTTTCATACTTTTAGCCATTATTTATAATTATTACTCACTGGGTTAGAGTACTCACATTACTCCATGCACCATGTGTGCAGATTCAAGCATCGCAGAGTACGCTCCTGAGTGTTGATCCTCCCAGTCCAGGCAGTGATTCGGAGACTATGAGGTAGCTGTTGGCGTCCACAGTCCCGTGCCTCCCTTATCTCATCATTTTCATGTTCTTAGAACTATTGTATCGGATTTAGTGTCCAGTAGACTTGTATCCGGATTTCTTAGTTGCTCATGACTTGTGACACCCCGGTTTGGGCTATGTCAGAATGGTTCTTACTGATGTTATCGTTAATTCCGCAAATTATGGATATTATATCATGTTTTAGAACTATTTATGATATTTAACTGTTTAAAAGAGGTATTCTATTTGGTCTGGCTGGCCTTGTCTTCACGAGAGGTGCCATCACGACCGGGTTCGGGAATTGGGTCGTGACAATTTTACTATTATGACATATTGTCTTGCAAAAAGTATATAGCTACGAAGAATATGTAAAGACATGAACAATCATCAATTCCAGAAGCATTTTATTTGGCAAATGAAACAAAACTACAGGAAAAATGGAGAAAAGTTTAAAGAGAGAAAGAGGAACATGTTCTGTGCAGGTAATACCGTAATACGCTTAAAAGAGATCTTCAGACTGACAAATACACACACTATCTCTTCATTCTTTTTTTATTTCTCTGTTAAGGATTATACCAAACTGAGTTTGTTCCATTTTGATGGAAAATGCTACTCCGCGAAATTTGGTAGGGAGATGATTTCTCAAGGATAGATAAATTCTTTTTATTGTTGTTAAAGTAGAAATATTTGATTGAAAGGATTAGCCGAGGGAGATGAAGAATGAATGGAGAATGAATCTGCAAGTTTTGTTTGAAAACGAAAGCGAAGTAGAGAGAGCTATCATATGTGATTGCAGTTTCTATTACATTTTTCCCCGGCATGACACCATGAAAAGAGGATAAACTGATCTGTGTCCTACGGGAAAGAAGAGGAACATACGGAGGTGTACTTAAGAGGATTATCAATGAATAGGAACGGCTTTTGATTTCTTAATCGAAGAGGCAGTGTAATTAAAAGGGTTTTAATGGAAGGGACGTGACTTTTTGATTTTTTTTTTTTCTGAAACAACAAAAAATTTACAAATAAGAGGAAAGAAAGCAAAATAATAGAAAAAAGGTTAAAAATGAGAAATAGATAAATTGAAATCCTGGCTTTGGAGAGTGCCACATCGCCTCTCCTATGCCCTTCAAATATATATACTCACTCATAAAGAATGACAGTTTTTTATACTTTCTTATCCTCTATATTAAGTAGTAAGTATGTGATTAGTCGTGTTTCGGGCTAGGCCCAACAAATTTATCAAGCTAAAACGCTGATCATCCAGAAGATCCTAGATATTTGGCACGGAATTATTACAATTAACATATAAAGAAGACTAAATAGTAGGTAACCATTTCATGTCGTTAATGAGAGTCTGCTTTGTTTTAATTGCATATTTTGCATTATATTTTATGATCTCAAATATGTGCGTCAAAACTGTTGCGAGAAATGATTGGAAAAAATAATGGAAGCTCCTCGAATTACTTCTCGAGTTACAATCCTCCTAATTGTCATTAATTGCTTCTTACTGCTCTTCGTTTTATGGATCCCATCTTAATACTTATAGGTTGATTTCAAAATCAAATTCTCTGAGGACAAAGTCACCTGTACAGGGCATTTCTCAGTTTATTACAAGTGGATTTACTTGGACTTTGTAAAATATTGACACTGGAAAAGACGTCTATTTTAACATGTAACGGAAAAATGATCCCCAGCTTGCTAGATAATCCTTGCTGACTGTTTCCTCTCACCTCTATGAGGAAAAAACAGGACATAATATTTCAGGTTTTAGTTGTCCTGCATTATTGGCTATCTTGCACGGAATTTGTAAAAATGTTGCCCCACGCCACGCGTATCGGTTCGTTCAAAATGCACTACTTTTAGAGTATCTGAGACGCATCCAGAGACATTTTTGAAAAGTTCGAACAACGTTGAATTTATTGGCTCCAAACAATTTACTAACATTATTTGGTAAAGCAATTAGAAGTTGTAAAAGAAGAACAGATATTTACATCACATGGCCGTGTATGTTAAATTCCCCTGATATAAATTCTTCAAAACCATTAGCAGAGATCTGATCCTGAAATCTGAGTGGTGTTTGGGATATTCCATCCACAGTCCCGCTGTGAAAACCTTGATTTATGTGATTCCCATAGGTAGTTTCATTCATCAGTGGAACATATTGCATGAAAGCATCTGGGAACACCGAATCATTGCATCCAAAGTTATTCTTGGAAAGATCTTGATTGGTTGTGTTGTTGAAATCTTCTTGACCACTAAATTGTTCTAACGAGAACCATTCAGAAAATAAGACTTTTGGTAAATTGCTTTTGCAATTTTCTTTTGCAAAGTCAACCAGTAGTGAAGCAGACTGATCACTATCTGCTAATGAGTCCGGACTTGAATTTTGGGAAGCCAATTTTATTGAAGAAGGTGAAGATTCTCTATTTCCACTATGCAGGCTAGTGCATCCCGATCTAGCCTGCCCAGTTTCATTTGTTGCCATTTTAGACACTCTCTTCTTTAGGTAAGAGTGCCAATGATTCTTTATCTCATTGTCTGTCCTTCCAGGCAAATGTTGTGCTATTTGACACCACCTGCGGATGTACAACCTTTGTTTAGTGACTTATTACGCCACAATTCCTAGCTAGTTGAATTGACTATATTAATTCTTAATATCAAAAATGCTCCGTATAATATTTCACCGCAGATTTACAGTACTATATAACTGACTAGACATCCTTAAATTATTGAGTACTAAACAAGAATGTCCTTTCTCAATCTCACTTGATTCCAAGAAATGAGACATTGGGATAAATCAATGTCAAGTTATATTCACTTGTCACCAAATTACAGTCGCTATTTTGGAAAAAGTCTGCAATTTTTGCCAACTGCAGCCAGTAGGTGGATTCTCAATTATCAAATGAGGCATATCTAAAGTCAACTTACAAGAATCTTAATTTTATTAAATTCTTGTATGATCCTTATTTAAAATAACAGGGGCGCCTGTTGACGCTCTCAATCCCTTCAAATTCTAAACAGTTATTGGACAAGAGTTTAAATTATGTGCGCTTTGATAATGTAAAAATTAAATTGTTTACAACATCAGTTCACTACAACAACAAACCTACTATTGTACCTAAAAATTAAAGTAACAACATTCTTTAGATAGTTAAATTACATTGATAATGACTTAATATAAATGACTTAAACTCATTGGACATATATTGTGGTATATTTATTGCAGTACAAAGAGGACTAATTATCCAAGGGACAAAGTTTCTTACTTGTTGCCCAACATGCCATGAAGGGTCAGAATTGTGTCCTCCTCCTCAGTGCTAAAAGTCCCTCGCTTTAGGCCAGGCCTTAAATAATTAATCCACCTCAATCTGCAACTCTTTCCATTCCTTTGCAACCCTATAATATAATTAACCAATAAGAATACCACACTACATGTCAACGATAATGATTTGAATTTCTCCTTAAAAACAGAAAATTCTATTGTTTGTTGACTTGTGTTGCCGTCGTACTTTGTTCCTATAAACAATTCCCGACTAGTGCGGCAAAGATAACAAACTCGGCTGAGATGTACCTTAGCTTTGTCATTAGCTGGAGTCTTTTTATTTATCTTTTTCCATATTTCTTTTAATAAAATAAAGAGTTTCAAAGCTATATACGTAATCAAATATATATATATATATATATATATATATATATATATATATATATATATATATATATTACTCTTTTTAACATTCACGCGTCGAGAGTTGGTATACTTCCACTTTTCCATTTAATGTGGTGCTCATTTCTTCTTAGTCTGTTTCGAAATGAATGGCACATTTTATTTGGAAATAATTAACTTTAAATATCTTGGTTTATATTAATGATATACTCTTATAACCACAAAAATATCATGACATGTACTACGTACACAAGTTCCAATAACCGTCCTCTCTTTTTTTTTAAATAAAAACTTTGTGCCTACTCAAATAACCGCATACAAAGTAAAACGAATGTAGTATACGATATTAGGATATATAATTCGTTTACTTTTTGAATGAAATCACTAGTGAAACACAGCATTAAGAATAAACAAAGGGCAACCAATTATGATGATGATTAACTTTATTATCATCAAGGATATCATATAACAATCTTGTTTTTTTTTTCCTTTTGTACTCATGCACGTTTAGAATAGCACAATTAAAAGAGCTATTGTACTGGATGAAATTATTCAAGCTCTTAAACTTGGAATTTGTTCTGAGATTGAGAAACCTAATTAAACTAACTCGATGAATATCTTCTTACGTGTTTAAAGTAGAAAGGTTTCTGGATAGACAAAATAGCTTTACACTTCAATATATAAGAGGTAAAGAGACAAATTTTGGTACTATATCGGCAAAATTTAACAAAAGCAACAGTGTGTGGCATTTCATAAAAAATTGCAGAATGTGAAGTAAATAAGCTAACCAGCATTGATGGGCACGGAGCTCCAGCAGCCATGTCCATAGGTGAGGATGTAGTCTTTGAGCTTCTGGTCTTCATCTGGAGACCATAATCCCCTCTTGTGCTTTGACTTTTGCTTGTCCACTAATTGCTTGCACCCCATTTTCAAACAAATGAGAATTGGAGAAGATAGTACTACTATATATCTTTCAGAAACTTGTAAGAGAAAAAGACATTTGACTTTTGTTTAATTTCTTTGTAGAGAGAAGAAGGGTCAAGGAAGACTTGATGGTGAGATTAGCCGACCAGATATTTAAAGGGAGGATTAGTTGAGATTATTCACTGAGTTATGAAAACAAACCAAACAAAAAAAGTTAAAAAGGGACTATTTGTCCCTGTAGAGCTCCAGTAATACCTCAATCAAATGGGATAAAAGGTAAAATGGAGCGTTAGAAATTACACATTTTTTATCATCTAATTGACTCAAGTATACTTATATATAATTAATTAATAGAATAGTTGTCCATTTCGGAGAATTTTTTGGAGCTAGAACCAATAGAGACAAGAACGGTGATCTAGCACCAATAGTATCCCTATTCTTATGTCATTCAGCAGGCTTAAACCTACTTGACAGACACCACTAACGGTTTTCATTCTTATTCTTGCAAAAATTTAAATTATCTATTTAGATAGTGGAAAGATTTTTTACACTATTAGCGAATTTTGATATGTGATAGCTGGTTAATTAATTATCGGTCAGTTTTATTAAGTTAAGAAATTACTAATATAATACCTATAATAAAAGTTTGCAAGTAATTATTTTATAAATGATTTGGTATAACTATTTTTTTACGTATAACTTAAACCTAATTTTCTGAAATACCTGGTGATTGTGCATGTGTGTGTATGGGTCGAAATCTGACCAAGAAAATCTTGCCCAAAGGTAAATTACTAAGAGCCGATTAGGTCGAGGTCGTACTCGAGATCAAAGGAACCAATTGGCGAGCTGAGTAATCTGGGTCGAGGTCGGATACTCAAGTCGGCCATAACGGCTAGTTTCGTAGCAAGATATTTCAGGGAAATATTCCATTGAATATTCTCTGCACTTGTATTTTATGTTAGGTAAGGGATATGTCTCATATAAAAGGAGAGATAGAGAGAAGAAATGGGCATGTAATATTCTATATGGTAAGTTCTCTCATGAGAAGTTGACTCTCAAGTAAATTACAAACATTGCATTTCCATAAAAATTCGATTTGTTGTTTATCCCACACTTTCTCGCATCAGATTCGAGAAAGTTCCATATATTCCCAAGCTCGTTTGTACATCATTGTCGGAGAGAAGAATTATTCACCTCATTCAACATTTGGGTGAATCATTCTCTCTACTTACATTCATTGTCATTTAATATATTTATTGATTATCATTGCTCCCCCTCCCCCCTCATT